ATATTAAGCAAAGCAGTATTTATATGTTTTATATATTACTGTTTTCTAGTAATATAATGTAACTAATTTTTGGTTTATACAGCCTTACTTTACTCTATGGCCAGAATTAGATCAATCAATATAGAAATATTTACCATTGATATAAGTATGTAATTTTAATGCATGATATACATATCTGGACATAAGAAAGATTTGGTTATTTCAACTCCTAGAAAAGAATTGTAAAGAAGATTTTAAAAGGCATTATAAAAGTTATGAAGCATGGTATATAAATACATCTAAATTAAATTATTTTTGTTCATGTATACTTTTATATTGATGTATATTATACAAAAAAATTTTCGTGTTACCACACAGTGAACACTGCAAGATCACTAATACTACACTAAAGTTAAAGGACAGATCACATGATAACCATCTAAACAGCCTGAAAAATGACATAGACCATTGAAGATGAGAAATGTGTATACATAGCTGTAATTTCAAATTTAAAGTGCTGTAATTTAATCCAACAGCACTGCAATAAGGTATCTGAAGTATACCAGATGTCTTTGACAAAACCTAAAGAAAAGTGGTTAAGATATTGCCCTGATGTGTGCTTATTTCCTATTTGCAATGAACAAGTAGTTACTTAAAAACCACCTTTCATATTCCAGTAACTCCACCTGATATATTTTTAGTTTTATTTTATAATATAAAATTATTTTACAACAATATAAAAGACAATTCTCTATATGATATATATTAAAGTTCTCTAACTACTATAACATAAAACAAATTCAAAGCCACAAGTAAAGATTCAACTTTCCTTTCTACATACAAACAAGCCAGTTATTTTGCACATCATAGTCTTGTATGCACAAATTAAAGTGTAAAGTCAGAAAAGGGAAAAAAATAAAGTCAGATCTATAATTGCATACTGTTTCTTTGTGGTAAATATTTTCACATTAGCATTAATAAATTCACGTTTATTTTTTTTGTGTTTGTGATTTTTTTCTTGACAACTTATGAATCACTTATGAGAACTATCTAATTTCATATAATTAAAGTTGCCAAATAAATCACAAAATCAAGCAAATATACAAAGAGATGGCAAGCATTATGCATGTTTATAAACTCCAGCAGCTAAAACGAGAATAACAATTGAAGTGATAAGTTATATCACCACTTCACATACATTCTGATAATTTTTTAACAGTGGTTTTGTTGTTCACTTCATAACTTGCATACAAGTAATATTTTTAAAGTACAAAAACAGAACAGAGAGAAGTAAACATCATTTTATTCAAAACTGTTTATCTCGTCGTAGAAAGTGCATCTACATTGTATTATTATTATTAACTGTAGGACCATGAGTTTAATGTGATTGCACAGCTGTGACTTTTTTGCATATATTTTTCAGTTTGCCAATATAATCAGTAGTTGACTACACAATCAAAGTTTAAATTTCTAGATTTAATAAAGTGAAGTCTAGGTCAGTGTTAGCAGATTTATAAATCTGACTGTTTCTTGTTGCTTGGCAAGTGGTGCTTATTGGATAGACAGATTAATGATTTGTCAAAAAACTTTTAAAGTCAAAGACTGGTTGTTGTTTCCATTTTATAACAAATAAGTGTTAACTTGCTGTTGATGGTGAAACTGCATTAATTATGTCTAACACTCTTAAATG